CAGGTACAAATTTTAAATGCTATTTATACTATTTAGTTTGTTTAAAATTTAAAAAACTTTTTAAATCGTTTTAAATTTTCTTGCATATATCATAATGACAAATATGTATCAATGAATATTTATGTTCAAGTTGTAGAACAAGGAAACATTAATATAAATCTTCATCTAAAGTAAGTCTTTCTTACTTACCTTGTTACTTCTAAAACATCTAATTAAGGTCATGGTTGTTCGTAACTTCCGCTCAAGCGTCGATGAGAAAGCTTTTAAAATGAATGTTCATATGTTAGCTTTTTTATCTCATTTATTTGCATTTTTGTTTGTTTCCTGTGTAAGGTTAAGCGATTTATTTTACAATAATATATAAAACTTGTATTTCTGACTTCATGAATATCATAGAATTTTTAAGATCCCCACTTACTTATTACGTTACCATTAAGCCAATAACAGGGAAGGATCCTAGATAATGTTAGTATAACTTTTGGACCAACTATTTTGTTTTTGCATCGAACTTGCTTAAGACAATGGTGTTAAATTATGTTCATTTTATCATGTGCAGATCAACAATAAACTGTTATTAAATGAATGCTTTAAAACGTTTCCTGTTTAGTTATCATATTCAGACTTATGTTTTAGTATTTTTTTATTTGAAAGAACGTTATTGCGTAATTGTAAGAGACGATTAAACAGGTTCTTATTATTGGAGTCTATGCATCTCTTAGTCCCTACAGGTGAGGGTTTTTTAAACCCTGCTCTAAGTTTTCAGTAACTTAACTTAATTTTACGTCACTTAGTTTTCTTTTGTAATACGCGTGATTAGTCAAAATGATATTTTCTGTTTCGGCGCAATAAGACCAAACAAGATACGTAGTCTTCATTGTTACATTAATAGAATGATATCAGGAATTCAAAATAAATAACATTTCTACACTGTAATTTATTGGGTTTGTTTTTGTTTTTATTCAGATGCAAGTTTTACTCGTTGTTGGTTTTGACAAGAAATACATCATTGTGGATTACATTTCATGCAATGTCTTCGATTTATCACAAATAAGACTAATATAAAAATAATATCACCAGTACATCATTCTGTTGTTAAAATCTGCATCCTTTCATAGGCAAATAAGAAAAACATTGATCTAGATACACCTGTTATTAACAGTTCTTAAGATACAAAACAAAATGATAAACGTTACATTAAAATCTTAAAGCCACTGACCTCCAAATGGTGAAATGGAATAAATGAAATCAGATTACCAATTATTGGTAAATTTGTAAATTCATTATTACTGACATTTTAATTCATTTTTTTTACCAAAAATTTCTAAAACTATCAAAACAAAAGCAGTTATTTGTTTCCCTCTAAGTTTGATATATTCCCGGAGTCCGTGCTTTCCGGACCACAGGTCGCGATGTTGTCATGTAAAATCATGTGGTACTAGAAAATACCCGGTTGAAATTATTCCGTAGAATGATAAAAGAAGGTAATTCCCACCTACATAAAAGCAAACTGTTTATTTTCAGGACAAAATGATAAAATATGAACATTTTGAAGTGTCATTTCGATTTCTTATTACTTTATAATGCTTTTGAAGAGAGATTTAGATATATTTGTAAAATGGTATTTTTCTGTTTTCTTCTGGGGGTCAGCTGCTTTAAATTCATAATACACGACAGGGGTATTATAAAGAAAGAAGAAGATAAAACAACAAAAACAACAACAACATCAAAAATAACACAATGAAAACAAAAACAACAACAACAACAACGAGAATATGATGTATGGAACATTACAAATTGTATTAGATATACTATATATACCGTAGTGCGTTATAAACTTTTAATTAAAATTTCACAAAATCATGTTTAAAATTATGCATATATATGCCTATATTAATTGCTTGAAGAAAAATTTATGCTTTAGTATCTACGAATAAGATATTTTCTTCAATAATTATTCAGATGAATCAATCTACTTCAGAACTGAAGAACAAACACGAGTGATAATTATACATTAAATGTTTTTGTGTTAGCAATTCAATTAGCATCCTGTAATAATGAAAAGGAATTATCTATTTATTGTGTCCAGGCGGTTGTTGTTTACTTTCTTTGTTGGTGAGATTTCGATTCCGGTAAACGTATTTTGTTCGATTCATCATCTGTTAAGAATGAGCTGGATTGCCCACAAGGTTCATAATAACTTCTTATCATTTATATCTTTGACGGCGTTGTTCAACTTACATAATCGTTTTTTTCTTGAACAGTATTTGACGTGATATTTTTCGTGAATGATGAAGCCCTTCTACGGGACATTCCTGTTTGTTTGAATTTGGGCGCGTTAGTCTCAGAAGACTCCTTCTTTCTTTGTAATACAGAATCAGCGGATGCGTCTGTTAATTTTCTGGTTGCATTTGAATCAGGGTTGGTATAATCTGTAGCACGTTCACCATTTTTAAGTTTCAAACAGGATGCAGCATTTCCAGCGTATGTTTCTGTATGTTTTCCGTTTTTATCTGACTCCGGCTGATATTTTCTTCTTGCAGATCTTTCATTAATAGGGTCTTTCGTATCTAGCTTAGAAGAGGACTTAGGTGTTAGAGATGAGAGGTTTGATTGACTACGAGGAATTTTGACATAATCATACCACTTGTTTTTTGGCGTTCGAGATGTTTTTCCTTGAGCGACACCTTTACTCAGTAAGCTCCCTCCTTCTTGAAGGAACAATGCAGGCCACACTATAAAGTCAACATATTGGCCCTGGACCGTATATGGTCTAAAAAAAATTGTTTCAAAAGGTGTGTTCGTAAGTGACACATTTGTGTCGACATATACTGGTGGCTCTTGAATTGTCATCAACCAGCATAATTCGATGCTTTAACGAATGAACGGCTCAATTCCTTTCTGTTCTTCGACAGGGATATTTTCTTGCATGTCAGAAGTGTATAACTAGAAATAGAATGTAACCATTGCTTTAAACATTCATCAATTTATCAAATCAATACTACCAAACGTTAAAAAATACATACCTACCTTCAATATTTAGGAATACGTGTAACATTTCCTATCATGTTTTTATCACGTTCTTAGCTATATTATTTTATAATTATTATTATAATTGATTTATATGGAGGACAAAATAGCTAGTTGAACAATACGATTATATTTATTAGTGAAGGCAAGATGTGTTTTATTTCAAATCTTTGTATGCGATTTCAAGAGCTATACAGACAATGATTAATGTAGTACTGATTTCTAGAGTTAGATATACCTGTTTGATTACTTCAACCTTTATTCTTGGTCTTTCGTTTCTTCTGATTTTTGCAGTCTTGATTATTTCTCTCGCACGGTCGTCGGCCTAGAGTCAAAACATTCTAAATCATTGACATTATGTGTTTAGTAAGGTAATATTATTGAAAGTATATTTATTCTATCAAATGCTTAACAACTCCACTTTCTATATATTTTTATGAAACACATAAAACAATAAAATTATATAATAATTAGATAATTCAAATTAATAGAATTCTAATTCCTTACGATATAGGTTCATGAAAGCTCAATATAAATGGTAACTGTCGCATATAAATACAAGATAGTACGTTATAAGACAAATAAATTCCTATATCGAAATATTTCATGTTAGAAACCTATCCGTGTAGCAAACGAATGTCGGTGGTACTACTCAGGTGTTCGTTTTGCCTAAAGGGAACATGAGGTCTCCTCCAGCAGTTAAGCTGGAAACAAAACAAAAAATCCACTTATATATGCTTTGTCTGATTTATAAGAATACCTCAAAAAGCTCATCAGTAGCATAGATAAATGCCTTTAAGTCAGCATCGGCTTTCCTTCTACATGTAGAATATATTGACTGTAAATGTAAATGAAAACAAATGCAAAATATTGGAAACAACAAGATATTCATTATCACAATGAGATATTGACGGGGGCTAATCTCGACTTTTTTCTTATTTTTGAAGTCAAACAATTCAAAAGGAGAATATTGTAGGAAAGAGTACTCATGGAAAACATATAATATTTCTCATATTTCTTGTAAGAAAAATAATTATAAAATTCAAATTTATATTTTCATTTTGAAATTACCAATCATGGTTATTCATGATTAAACATTTGAATTAATTATAATAGAAGTTAAGTGATAACTTTTGTTTTGCCTGTGAATGAATCAAATCTATTAATAAACAAAGAAAAGGCAATATAACCACATTCCATTAATTTGACCTTTACGGTGAAGTTCAATTAAAGGTCAAAATCATATCAGAATAATTCAACATATTTGTTTGTCATATGGGTTTTCTTGTCCAAGTATGGAGCAAATCTCCAAATGATTAACAAGGTATTGAAAATTTAAGCAAATTTCTAATATTTGACCTCAACGGAAAACGTCAGTTATAGGTCAAGTTATCATCCAAGTAATTCAGCATCTTTGATTTCTAATAAGTGCTATTTTTGTCAAATCATGAATCATATTAGTATATAAAGCAAACTTATAAAAAAATGAGCACATTTCAATAATTTTAGTCAAATAAAGCCATTTATTAAGGTAATGGGACATGGCAATTTAAATCAGTGATCTTATTTTATGAGGACTCGATTGTATCCAATAAAAAACAATTTCATACAAAAACAAGTTTAAGTTGCTTATAGTCAAAATGTGAACATTTATAAGTATATGTTATTTTTTTGAGTTTTTAAGAACAGTGTAAAACTTTACTTAAATGTTAATTCAAGCACCAATTTCATACAAAAACGGTTTTAACTTGTGCTTTTTTTGACAAAGGCAGCTATTAGTTTCCAAATCTACACAATTATGCATGGTGTTGTTGGGAACTGTAAATTTACATATTATAATTGATATGTATTTTTTCCACAGGTATTTGATCCTAAATAAACTATTTGATCATAATTATTTCCGATTGTTATCATATGTACTTATCTAAATATTACTAGTACATTATGTTCGTGCATAGGTATTGTTTTGATCATCTCATCCGTCAATATCTCAACAATGAGAAAATGAAATCTAGAGCTTCACCAAGCAATGCAATGCTGGAAATCGAAAGCTTATATACTTTAAATCGTCTATGATGAGGTTTAAAAAACATATTAAAACATTTTCTCCTCTATCCTTTATTTGTAGTTATTTCAATTTAATACTTACACAAAACGCATGTACTAGCAAAGAGCAAATTTCCTCCTCTCCCTTTTTCTCATTCGAACTAAGGTAAGTGAAGGCATCTCTCCATTGATTATCGTAAAGTTCTGTATATTTCTCGGAAAGTTTGGTCGGCCTATTTACATCGCTAAGATCGGCAATATTTGCATATCCACCGGTCAGTATTTTAGCTGGCAATGCGCTGAGTCTAATAGTAATGCATCAAAATAGAATTAACATAAACGTAAAGTTTTTCACTGTTCTTAAAAACTCAAAAACTTGTGACATTTACTTATAAACGTTTACGTTCTGTCTATAAGCAGCTTTTAAGTACTGTTGCAAAGTTAGGATCTTACGGCCAACGGTTAACAGCTTTCCATTAAACCAATCTGCAACCGCTTTCGCAATCTTGGCATTTTATCAATTTCTATTTTAACTGTTGGCACGTTAATTGGTGTTACGGGGAAAGAAAAATTGCGACATCCTTGTTCTTTAAGATAACAAACCGCGAATCAACGCTTAAATAGCAAAAAGTAATTAGATCCTGTGTTTCGAAGAGAATATTTACTAAATTATGCGCTTTTGTAAAACAATATTAATGAATTCTCTTAAATGAGTAATGATGTCATTTTTCCACTGATTCTGTTTAACGGTTAATTTGATTGGTTTACTTAAAACAGCTTTATTGGAAAATCAAATCGGCAAGAAGGTGAAAGAGTTGCCAAGGATTAGAACTTCATTTAAGCACACGAAGATATTAACTTTTGTCAGAATGATATTTTGCATTAAGTACTTTGTTTATACATCCCTTATTCTTCTTAATATCTGTTCTCAATGAAGCACATAATATTGTTATTAGACTTGCTTATTACCTTTGAAGGATATCGTTTTTGTCTTCTTCAAGTTCGTTCTTTAGAGAATCATTTTTGAGCTCTAAATCATCAAATAGAGTGAAAAAAGAATCCCTAAAGAAAGCCCAACGCGACAAAATTAAAAATGTTGCAGGCTCGGTTTTATTGAGCCTGTTCATGGACGGTACTGTCAAGTGCAAACTACCGTCCACGCCCCGTAGCACCAAGTCTCATTTTATATCTGTATAAAACAAAATGGACGGATATCGTCATATTTCCTTATTATTTAGACATTATTTCTGTTAAGCTAATGAAAATTAATGCATCAAGCAATAGTAAGAAAAATGTATTTTATCTTACAGACAACTGATAATTTTACAGCGACTTTCATTAAGTTAAGGAAACAATCGTGTTTCTGTTCTCGGAGAAATAAAAGCGTACGACATTACGCTGGTGACATTTGGAAAGTACGGTGGCGAAGCACGATATTTCGATGATGATAGTCATTCGTACTGATGTACTGTCACATTCGTCCTGTCGTACTGTCACCATCGTACTGTCGTGCTGTCAGTTCTACTGTCACCATTGTACAGTTACCACCGTACTGTTGCATTGCCTCAATCATACTTTCTACGGCCCGTTTGGTATGTGCATGATATAATTTTAACATGAAGGAGCACGTTGACAGTATGCGACTGTACGATGGATAAGTGAGACAGAAATATGTGCTGACCCTAATGGAACACATTGTTTTATTTCTGATAAATCGCTACCTATGGCATTCTCTTAAAGAGCTTAACTTAATATATGCTTTTTGTATAAAACTATATCTATGCTAGTACACTAAAAAATATTTACATCTGTTTTGAATTGTTTTTTAAGTAAACATATTCTTTGGGTAGAAAAGAAATAAAGCATTATTTTCTAACCTTTTTCTCCACTCACTTTCCTTTTCATAGTGGTCTTTTTCAACAATTTTCATTTGTTCTTGCATTTTTGATATTTGATTAAATTGGTTCCGTAACCTCCTCGTGTAACTGCAATGAAGATTTAAGCTTAAGACTTATCAACATTTAACTTTGCACATTGACCGATAATTTGCAAAAAAATAAATATATGAAAACAAAATTTAATTAAAATCTTTTCTATTCTCCCTATCTTTTTCCATATCACAGTTATCATGTTTGAAATTTTTCAGACGTTCTTTAGTTTAAACATATTTATTCCCGAAAGTATATATAATGTACATACATACAAATATATAACAAACAAAACATTTTACACAATGGAAAAGGATGAGAATGAAAGACAAGTCTTATAGAATTCTTCTCCTTTGGCGAACTATATGGTTTGTCTTAAATAAGTTTATAATTAGTATATACTAGACAAGGGAATAAGTATTAATTATACACACATAAAAATGTATATTTATATATAAACTTTTATAGAATAGATTAACTACAAGTAGATGTCTAAAATGTAAGAATATGTATAAAAGAAGAAAACAAAATAGTGGAAAAGAGAAGAAAAAGGGTGAGAGAGGATTATAGTCTCAATTAGAATGGATCTAAGTAAATCTTTTCGTTTTTTCTATATAATTTTGTACATTTGTAAATATAATAACGTTGTCCTGGTATGTAAGAGATGGTCACCATAGAGAAGTTTATGAAGGTTTATGCTGAAGTCTTGCAAGTTAAGGAGGAGTGTTCTGCGGACGGCATCGTATGCACAGCACTCGAAAAAGAAATGTTGGGTAGTTTCGATTTGCCCACAATTACACAAAGGGGTAAGAGAAATGTTTTTCAAAAACAGGTGGTGATTTAATGCGCTGCAGTTCGTTCGAAGCCAAGTGTGAAGGACCTGCAGTTTACGACTACCTGTATAAAAGTATGTTGGTGTATATTTTCTGTCCTTGTTTAAGAAAGTTTTAAATGAAGATATTGTAGGGCTGTTTCGTATTATAACAGGCAAGTTGTTCCAATCACGAATAACTGATGGCAAGAAAGACGTTCTTTGAGCTATGTGATTCCATTTGTTTTGTTTTGTAATTCCCTCTTTTAACACTTCTCATGCTCTGAATTCAAAAAAATATTGCGTATAATTATATTTTACTTTATTTTATTTTAAATGCTTAATATCAAAAAGAAGGTTGTATTGGCAGTGAGTTTCTCATCCGTACGAAAATATGTGAAGAAGTGATTTGAAAATTTGTAACAACAATGACAACTTGAGATCAAGTAATGAACAAATATTTCATAGACTCTATTTTTTGTAGCATTGACTGCAACATTAAACCCCATAAAAGTTTCACTGCATTGGCGTCTGCTTCTCTGTATGAAATGATACAGTGTTCAAAATAATTTACCTTATATATCTTCTACCTGAATAGTTATGGTGGATGTAAAATAAAATTACAATTATTCAAATCTTAACAATTTATATTTGCACTTAATGCTTGATTGACAATCGATAACAGTCTAATTAACCAATGACATTTCCAACATTTCATGTCGTTCTTTTCAATTGTTAGCCTTAGTATTTCACTGGAAGGATAATGTTATTTTCACAGTTTAAGTAAGTTGAATAAGAAAAAACCTATGCAATGCTATATGTTATCTATTGATACAGTTCTTCTATATATCTGTTGAAGTACATAATATTGTTATTATTAAAGTTCCAGTTCGTTCCACAGGGAATCGATTTTGATATCTAAAGAATCAAGTGCCATTTAATATATGTGTTACAGGGTGAGAAAAATGTGCAGCCTGACCGGGACTTGAACCCGGGACCCTTGGAATACCGTACCGCGGCTTTACCGACTGAGCTATCCGGCCGCTTACACATTTTTTTTTTTAAATAGTGAACAGTTTTGAACCGTGACATACTTCCCTGCTATATTGAAATTTGTTTTTGAATTTTACAGAGTTACAGAGCAATGTAAATTAAACTTTGAGCTATATTAGTTACGGTCCCCCGTTGGGCGCCAAATGTTACAGGGTGAGAAAAATGTGCAGCCTGACCGGGACTTGAACCCGGGACCCTTGGAATACCGTACCGCGGCTTTACCGACTGAGCTATCCGGCCGCTTACAGATTTTTTACCCTAAATAGTAAACAGTTTTGAACCGTGACATATGTATAAAACAATGTGGACGGATATCGTCATATTTCGTTGATTTATCTTACAGTAATAATTTTACAGCGGATTTCATTACATTTTATGCAAACTATCGTGTTTCATTCTCTTAGAACGAAAAGCGCGAAACACGACAGTACGTTGTGGAGAATACAATCGTGGCCAAGCACGACATAACGATTATGATAGTCCATTGTATATCGTACTGTTATCATCGTACTGTCATGTTGTTTTTCGTACTGTCACCATCGCATGGTCACCATCATATTGTCACAATAGTGCTGTCGTTTTCTAACAATCGCACAATCTCCGACCTGTTAAGCATGTGCATAGTAAACGAAAACACTGACGTTTGGCGACAATTCGATGATGAAGCACGACAGAACGCTGACCCTAACGAAACACCGCAGGTGACTGTAAACTTTAATTTCCCCTAAATTATTACTAAAGGCATTCTTATAAAAGCATAAAATATCATTGTTGTATAAATATCTACCCTGCCCTCAAATATAATATATGTCTATAATATTTACATTTTGAAAATAACAAATTCATCAGGACATGCACAATAAAACATTGTTTTCATTATTATTTCCCCGCTCCTTTTCCTTTTAATGTTGGTCTTTATCAATAATTTGCATAATCTCTTGATAGCTTGATATTTGATCAAATTTGTTTTGTAACCCCCTCTTGTAGCTACAATAAAGATTAATGCCTACGACTTACGTTTTACTTGGTACCTCGACCGAAAATATGTGTATAGATCAAAAATATCAAAAATAACATTTTGTAAAGTCTTACCTCTGTTCAATGTCTTTTTCCTTTTTACAGTTATCCTGTTGAACATTTTTCAGACGTTTTTCAAGCTGTGTGATTTTACTTGTTTTGCTTTGCAACTTCCTTTTGTAACTGTAAAAGAGATAAATATCTTAATGTTAGATACTTAAATATAGTTTATATATTGGGTATATATTTTACTATTATGTTCAAATGAGAAAATGCACAATATCGAAAAGAAGGTTATATTGGCACCGAGTTTCTCATTCGAACAAAAATATGGCTCGGTATTTCATGTAGCATTTACAGCAACATAAAATCCCAACAAAGATTCGTTTGATTTGCGACTTCATCTCTGTATGAAACGATACAGTGTTCAAAATAATTAACCTCATATGTTTCTTAGCCGGTGTAAATTAGAATTTCAATTCTTCAAATTTTAACAAGTTATATATGCACTTAATGCTTGATTGACAATCTTTTAATGTTTAATTTAGCTATGACAATCCAAATAATTTTACATGTCGTTCCTTTCATATGTTAGCCTTTGCTTTCACTGGAAAAATAGAATATAATGTAAATTTTACAGTTTAGATAAACAAACTAAGAAAGCAACTATACAATGTGATACATTATCTAAAGACACTCTTTTCTTTTCTTCTCAGTATCAGTTATCGATGAAGTACATACCATTGCTATTATTATAGCAAGTTACCTTCTAAGGATATCGTTATTTTTCTTGATAAGTCCTTTCCAACCAAACAAAAAAACTTAGTCCTTTTCAAAACCGCCTCCGTGGTCGAGGGGTTAGAGTCAATGACTTCTAATCCAGTTACCTCTCTGGCGTGGGTTCGATCCCCAGGAGATGCTTTGGTAGTTCAGCGTGGAGGAAGGTGGTCTAGTACTGGTGTAACTCTCCAGGAAACGATAATTAGGAAACTACCCGCCTATATGACTGAAATACTGTTGGGGAAAGGCGTAAAATGAAACAAACAAACAAACAGTCCTTTCAAATTCGTTCCTTAGAGAATCGATTATTAGCTCTAACGAATCAGTGTCATTTGATATCTGTATAAAACAAAATGGACGGATATCGTAATATTTCGTTAGGTTAATTTACAGTGATCATTTAATAGCAGCTATCATTAAATTATGAAAACTACGCTGTTCCGTTCTTTCAGAACGAATATGAGCGAAACACGACAGTACAATAGGGACAATACGAAAGTACGATGTTGACATAAAGATGTTACCTTTGGCGACTCACGACATTACGAGGATAAAAAGCTATTGTACTTTCCTAAAGTTACCAATAGTACTGTCAAGCTGTTTGTCGTACTGTCACCATCGTACAGTCACAGTCGTACTGTCACCATCGTATTGTCACCATCGAACTGTCGTTTTATTAGTAATTTACAATCTCCAGCCTGTTAAGCATGTGCATAATTAAATATTAACATGAATGAAATTGTTGACTGTAGGCGACAGTACGATGATGACGTACGACAGAACGATGCGCTTACCTAACGAAACTCCGCAGGTATCTGTAACTCCGCTAAATGTATATTATTGTTGTATAAGTATCTATCCTACCTCAAACATAAAACATGTCTGTTACATTAAATTTTACATTTTGGAGAAGACATATTCATCAGAAAATAAACAGTTAAACATTATTGTTTCTTTCACTTTTCATCGCTCCGTTTCCTTTTCATGTTGGTCTTTTTCAATATTTTCCATGTGCTCTTTATTTGTGATATTTGATTTAATTTGTTTTGTAACTCGCTCTTGTAACTGCAACAACAATTAACGTTAAGACTTACATTTTACTTCGTAGCTTGACTTATGATATGTAAATAAAACATCAAGATCAAAAGCAATGATTATAAAAAATCTTACCTCTCTTCCCTATCGTTTTCCTTTTCTTCAAGCTGTGTAATTTCACTTGTTTTGTTTTGTATCTCCATTTTGTAACTGTTAAAACGACAAATATCTTTAATTTAAGATATTTTTGTGTAAATATAGTTTACACATTGCGTATATATTTTACTATAATGTTGATATGAGATTATGCATAATATCCAAAATTCGATATAAATATCGGATCTCAACCTAACGAAAATCTGTTTTTAAGAAATAAGTGGAAAATTTGAAACACAAATGAAAACAAAAACCGTTAAGTTCAAGTAATTTCAAAGACTCGGTATTTCTTGCAGCTTTGACTGGAACATTATAAGAGTTTCACTTGGTTTGCGTTTTCTTCTCTGTATGGAATGACAGTGTTCAAAATAATTTACGGCATAGATTTCTTACCTGCGTACTTAAGGCGGGTGAAAAGTAGAATTTCAATTCTTCAAAATTTAACAAATTATAAATACAGTTATTGCTTGATTGACAACCGATTGAAATATAATTTAGCAATGACATTACCAACTATTTTTCCATGTCGTTCCTTTTATTTGTAAAACTTTGAATGTCACTTGAAATATATATTTGATTTTAATTATCACAGTTGGAGTAAACAAAATATGAAAACATATGCACAATGTGTTATGTTATATAATGATACTGTTTCGTTTTCTTCTAAGTATCTGTTTTCGATGAAGTACATAAAATCGTTATTAGAAAAGCTAGTCACCTTAAAAGGAAATCGTCTTTTTCTTGTTTTGTACTTTCCAGTTCGTTCCTAAGAGAATCAAGTGTCTTTTTATATCTGTATAAAACAAAATGGACAGATAGCGTCATATTTCAGTAAGTTATATTACAGTGATAATTTTACAGCAACTTTCATTAAATAATGCAAACTATTGTGTTCTGGTCACTTGGAACCAAAAGCACGAAACATGACAGTTCAATGTGGACAATACGACAGTACGATGGTGATATTACGAAAGCACTGTTACGAATCACGAAATGAAATACGATGATAATAATTTATTGTATTTTCGTTAAGTACCATCGTACTGTCGTGCTGTTTGTCGTACAGCCACACTCGTACTGTCACCATCATATTTGCATCATCGTACTGTCGTTTTGTCACAATCGTAAAATCTCCGCCATGTTAAGCATGTGCATAATAAAATATTACCAGGAAGGAACCTGTTGACTGTAGATGAAGCGTGACAGAACGATTGGCTTACCTTAACGAAACGCTACAGGAAACTGATACTTCGCTAAATGTATTTTATTGTTGCATAAGTACGAGTATTTATCCTTATCTCAAATATACATGTCTGTTACATTTGCATTTTGGGAAAGAAATATTGATCAGAAAATAAACAATAATTTTTTTTTTTTACTTTTTCCTCGCTCCGTTTCCTTTTCATTTCGGTCTTTTTTAATAATTTGCATGTGCTCTTGTATTTGTGATATTTGATTTTACGCTTACGACTTACATTTATTTTGTATCATGACTTACAATATGTAAATAAAACTTAAAGATCAAAAACTATAAAAGTAAATTTTTTAGTTATCTTCCCTATCGTTTTCCTCTTCTTCAAGTTTTCTTTTTTCACTTGTTTTGTTTTGTAACGCCGTTCTGTAACTGTAAATTTAGTTAATATTTTGCGTATACATTTTACTATTATGTTATAATGAGGAAAAGCATAATATCAAAACGAAGGTTATATTGGCGATGGATGAGTTTTTTTATCCTTTCGAAAATATGTTTTAAAGAATTAGTAGAAAATTTGAAACACCGATAAAAAAAAACGTTAATTCAAGTATGGAATAAATATTTCAAAGACTCGGTATTTCTTGTAGCATTGACTTGAACATTTAACTCCAATGAAGTTTCACTTGGATGGCGTTTTCTTCTCTGTATGAAAAAATACAGTGTTCAAACTAATTTACCTCATAGATTTCTTATCTCGAAACTTAAGGCGGGTGAAAATTAGAATTTCAATTCTTCAAATTTTAATAAAGTATATATACAGTTAATGCTTGATTGACAATCGATACAAATCTAATTTAGCAATGACAATTCCAGCTAATTTTCGAAATCGTTTCTTTCATTTGTTAGCCTTTGAATTTTATTGGAAAGATATAATTTAATGTTATTTTCGCAGTTTGAGTAAGTTAAATAAGAAAACATCTACACATTGATATATGTTATCTAATGATACTGTTCTTCTATATATCTGTTCTAAATGAAGTACATAATATTGTTATTATGACAGTTCCAGTTCGTTTAATATGGAATCGATTCTGAGCTCTAAAGAATCAAGTGCCATTTAATATCTTTATAAAACAAAGTAGACGTATATCGTCATACTTCGGTCATAATTTTACAGTACTGTCGTTTTCTAACAATCACATAATAATTACATTTTGAAGACAAATTCATCAGGAATTACACAATTAATAAAATAATTATTTCCATTACTATTTCCCCGCTCCTTTCCCTTTAATGTTGGTCTTTATCAATAATTTGCATACTCTCTTAAAAGTTTGATACTTGATTTAATTTGTTTTTTAACTCTTGTAACTGCAATAAAGAATAATGCTTAAGACTTACGTTTTACTTGGTACCTCGACCGAAGATATACAAATAAATCAAAAATATCAAATACAACATTTTGTAAAGTCTAACCTCTCTTCCATGTCTTTTTCCTTTTTACAGTTATCCTGTTGAACACTTTTCAGACGTTCTTCAAGCTGTGTGATTTCATTTGCTTTGCTTTGCAACTCCCTTTTGTAACTGTAAAAAGATAAATAACTTAATTCAGATACATAAATATAGTTTATATATTGTTTATATATTTTACTATTATGTTGAAATGAGAAAATACATAATATCGAAAAGAAGGTTATATTGGCACTGAGGTTCTCATTCGAACTAAAATATGGCTCGGTATTTGATGTAACATTTACATCAACATGAAACCCCAATGGAGATATATTTGATTGGCAACTTCTTCTCTGTATGAATCGATACAGTGTTCAAAATAATTAACCTCATATGTTTCTTAGCGGGTGTAAATTAGAATTTCAATTCTTCAAATTTTAACAAGTTATATATGCAATTAATGCTTGATTGACAATCTTTTAATGTTTAATTTAGCGATGACATTCCAAATAATTTTCCATGTCTTTCCTTTTATTTGTAAGCCTTTGAATTTCACTGGAAATATAGATAAAAATGCTATTTTCAAAGTTTAAATAAACAAACTATGATAACATCTATACAATGTGATACATTATCTAATGATACTCTTTCCTTTTCTTCTAAGTATCTGTTATTGATGAAATACATAACATTGCTATTATAATACCTAGTACTGTTGACTGTGACAGAACGATGTGCTGACCCTAACGAAATACCACAGGAAACAGTAAATTTTGATTCCCTCTTAATCATTACTAAAGACATTCTTATAAAGATTATAACCTACATGTATATTATTGTTGTATAGTTTAAATCATACCCTCAAATATAAAAAATATCATGTATTAAATATTTTAAAGAAAGTATAATCACAAGAAAATGAAAATTAAAACCTAATATTCTTTACCGTTACCCAGCTCTCCTCATTTTCATGTTGGTCTTTTTCAATAATTTTTATTTGCTTGACCGAAACTATGCAAATTGAATAAATAGATCCGAAAGATAATTGAGAAAAAAAAAGTTACCTCTCTTCAATATCTTTTTTCGTTTTACAGTTATCCTGTTGAATACTTTCCAGACATTGTTCAAGCTTTGTTATGACACTTTCTTTCCTTTGTAGCTCCTTTTTATAACTGTAAAGAAGATAAAGATTTCTTATACACTTAACAAATCATATACGTGTGCACCTTTTATGTCCTTATAACTTTTTCGTTTATCAATATATTTTTACAAAATTTTGTGTCCTGACTATTGGCTGCATTTCCACACATTTCATGTGCTCAAGCATGTCAATTTTAATTATGAGGTGCGTTCAACCATGAACGAACGAAATTCACACAATGCACGAAAAAATTGTGAGAATGGGTGAAATAAGATTGCACATGATATTCTCGGATACGATAGAGATAGACATATCAGAAAAACACCACATGGGTAAATTATCTATACAACAGCGTGACATAGCCATAGGATTGGTCAACGCTGGTGTACACCAAACAGAGGTTGGTAACAACATTAATTTGTTTAAATGATTATTTTTATTCCTTTGCATTGTAAAAGCCGAAAATCGTTTAACTTCAGTTTCTATCAAAAACGAACATAAAAAGCATATTTTTATTTAGTAATTACTTCAATGTATGTATCATTTGTAGGTTTCGCCTGGCATGATGTACACAAAACTACCTAATTTATAAGAAGACTAATCATTAAGTACAGAGCAACTTCTTTGGTAACCTTCCTCACCAACCCCAAAATTATCTACAACTGTATGTAAGATTGATGTGACGACGCTGCCGGGCTATAATACACAGTCAGGTTGGGCACACATAGTATAAGGACATCATTTTGCAACATCTACTTTCGACAAGCATTCACATTTTTTGGAATTAAATCTTAAATTTGTATCTTGAATAAAAAATACTTAATAAAAATGATAACATGTATAATTTATGTATGTATTGAAAATTTCAGCATGATCGGGCGAATATTGATACACTTATGAAATCATTTATACATGCACACTTATAAGATTTGTTAAGTGTATTACATACTTGACTGTAAATCTGGTTATTTTAATTGCGTATATGTTTACTATTATGTTGAAATGAGTAAATTATAATATCCAAGAAAAGAATGTATTGGCAGTGAGCTTCTCTTCCCAACGAAAATATGTTAAAAAGAAATAATTGGATAAATTAAAACAGCAATGACAAACGTTAAGATCAAGTAATGAATATAATTAATATTTCATAAACACTGTATGTCTTGTAGTATTGACTTGAATATACAACCCCAAAGGAGTTTTACTGGGTTGGCGTCTTCTTCTCTGTATAAAACGATACAGTGTTCAAATCAATTTACTTCATATTTTAGCTTAATTCTTCAGGCGGGTTTACATTAGAATTTCAATTCTTAAAATTTTAACAAGTATCATGTGCGATAAATACCTGATTTAAATCGATAAAAAGTTATTCGGAAATGACAATTATCTACTCTTTTCTTCTAAGTATCTGTTATCGATTAACAACATAATATTTTATTATAATAAAAAAGTTACCTTGTAAGCCTATCGATTTTTTCTTGTTTAGTCCTTTCCAATTCGTTCTTTAGAGAATCAATTTTAAGTGTCATTTTATATCTGTAAAAAACAAAATGGACGGATGTCTTTATATTTCGTTTAGTTACCTTAAAGCGATAAATGTACAGCGGCTATCATTAAATTATGCAAACTATTGTGCTCCTAGCTCTAAGAAAAAAGCGCAAAACACGACAATTTAATGGTGACATTACGGCAATACGATAGTGACATAACAAAAGTAATGTGGCGAAGCTCTACATTACGATGATGATAGTCTAGTGTACTTTCGTACTGTTTCCATCGTACTGTAGGGCTCTCTGTCGTACTGTGATCAACGTACGGTCACCATCGTATAATCATTATTGTTCTGTCGTTTTGACACTATCGCACTATTCCCGGTCTGTTGAGCATGTGCTTATAAAATATTAACATGAAGGAAAACGTTGACAGTAGAGGTCAGTACAATGATGAAGCGTGACAGAACGATGCGATGACCCTAACGAACATCGCAGCGAACAGTATTTTTTGATATCCGCTAAATTGTTACTAAAGGCATTCTAATAAAGAGCAAAACAAATATTATTGTTGTATAAATATTTATCATAAACTATATAATACATTTTTGAGAAGACAAATTCATCAGAAAATAGACAATAAAACATTATGTGCTTTACTGTTTTCCCGCTCCCTTTTCCTTTCATGTTGGTATTTTCAATAATTTTTTATTTGCTCTTGTATTTGTGACATTCTATAATTTGTTTTGTTATTCATTTTTGTAACTGCAATAAAAATTAACGCTTCAGACTTACGTTTCACTTCCAACCTTGACCGAACATATGCAAATAAAACAAATATAGCAAAACAAAATTTACTAAAAAAAATTACATGTTTTCCCTATCTTTATCTTTTTTACAGTTATCTTGTTGTATACTTTTCAGACGTTCTTCAAGCTGTGTTATTTCACCTTGTTTGTTTCTTAAGTCCCCTCTGTAACTGTAAAGAAGATAATATTTCTTTTTTAGATACTTGACTGTAATATGGTAATATATATTGCGCATCTATTTTACTATTTTACTGTTATGTTGAATGGAGTAAATGTATATTATCAAAAAGAAGGTTGTATTGGCAGTAGGTTTCTCACCCGAACGAAAGTATGTTTAAGAGAAATTATTGGTAATTCGAAACACCAATGATCAGTAATAAATAAATATTTCATAGGCTCTGTATTTCTGGTAGTATTGACTGCGTCATGGACCCAGACGGAGTTTCACTGGATTGGCGTCTTTTTCTCTGTGTATAAAACGATACAGTGTTCAGAATAATTCATCTCATAGATATTTTACCTGAATAATTAAGGCAGATGTAAATTAGAACTGCATTTTTTCCAAATTTGTATACGCATGTCATACATGCAATTAATGCTTGATATACAACTGATAAAAACCTAATTTTTGAAATTAGAATTCTATCTTATTTTTTCCATGTCGTTCGTTTCATTTGTAAGACTTTGAATTTCACTGGAAATATAGAAATTATATAAATAAATGTATTTTTCTACAGTTTGAGGAAATAAAACTTTGAACAAATCTACACAATGTGAAATATTATCTAACAATACTGTTTTCTTTTCTTCTAAAAATCTGTCTTGAATGAAGTGTATAATATTGCTATTATAAAAGCTAGTTACCTTGTAAGGAGGTCTTCTTTTTCTAGTTTAGTATTCTCCAGTTTTTTCGTTAGATTATCGATTTTGTGCTTTAAAGAATCGAGTTTCATTTGATATCTGTATATAACAAAATAGACGGATTTCGTTATATTTCGCAAACTAACATTTCTTAAAATGAAAATTTTACAGCGGCTTTCATTAAATAAAGCAAACTGTCGTGTTCTCTTCTCTCTGAATGAAGAGCGCGTAACACGACAGAACAATGGTGACAAAAGGACGGTACATTGGTGACATTACGAAAGTTCAGACACAAGCTATGACATTACGACGATGATAGTCCATGGTATTGTCGTACTGTAACATTCGTACTGTCGGACTGTCTGTAGTACTGTCACAATTGTACTATCACTATCGTATTGTCACTATCTACTGTCGTTTTGTCAGTTACATACTATTTTCGGCATGTAAAACGTGTGCATTATAAAATATTAACATGAAGGACAATGTTGACAGTAGGCGAAAGTACGATGATGCAGCGGGTCTGAACGATGCGCTGGCCCAAACGAAACACCACAGCAGACTGTAAATTTTGATTTCCGCTAAATCGTTACTAAATGCATTCTAATAAAGAACATAAAAATATTTTTGTTGTATAAATATCTTTCCTAACCTCTAGTGTAATAAATGTATGTTATATTAATTTTACATTTCGGAGAAGACATACACATCAGAAAGTAAATAATAAAACAGTATTTTCTTTACTCTTTCCCTGGTCCTTTTCCTATTATATTGGTCTTTTCAATAATTTGTATTTGCTCTTGTATTTGTGACATTCGATTAAATCTGTTTTATGACTCTCTCTTGTAATTGCAAGAAAGATTGACGCTTAGGATTTACCTTTCACTTGCTACCTAGACCAAAAATATGGATATAAAACAAATAGATTAAAGCAAAATTTAGTAAAAAAATCTTACCTCTGTTCCCTATCTTTTTCCTTTTTACAGATATCCTGTTGAATATTTTTCAGACGTTCTTCAAGCTGTGTTATTGCACTTGCATATTTTTGTAACTCACTTTCGTAACTGTAAAAACGATAAATATCTCTCATTACAGATACTTTACTGTAAATTTAGTTTATATATTGCGTATTTATTTTATTATTATGTTAAAATAAGAAAATGCACAATATCGAAAAGATAAAAAGTGGCAATAGGTCTCTCATCGGAACGAAAAATGTTTAAAAGCTGTTATTGGAAAATGTGGAACAACAATGGAAAACGTTAAGTTCAAGTAATAAATAAATATTTTTTGTAGAATATTTTGTAGCATTGGTGCAATATGAAACTCCAACGGAGTTTCACTGGGTATGCGTCTTCTTCTTTGTATTAAAACGATACAGTGTTCAAAATAATACGATCGTGATATTACGAAAGTACAGTGGCGAAACACGACTATACGACGTGATAGTACATTGTATTGCCGTGCGGTTACCATCGTTCTGTCGTACTAATTGTCGTAATGTCACCGTCGCCCTGTCACCATCGTATTATCATAACAGTACTGTCGTATTGTCACTATCGTACTATCTCTGGGCTGTTAAGCCTTTGCATAATACAATATAAACATAAAGGAGAACGTTGACCGTAGGCGACAGTATGATGATGAAGCGTGACAGAACGATGTGCTTTCCATCACGAAACAACGAAGGAAACTGTAAGTTTTAATTTCCTCTAAATCCTTACTAAAGGCATTCTAATAAAGAGCCTCACCTATATTATTGTTGTATAAGTATCTATCCTACTCTAAAACATATAACATGTCTGTTACATAGAAGACATATACAAATTTTTATAAAAATGTTACCTCTCTTCCCTATCTTTTGTTTTTTTTACAATCCTGTTGAATATTATAAGATGTTCTTCAAGACGGGTAATTCTACTTGTTTTGGTTTGTAACTCCCTCTTGTAACTGTGAAAAAGGTAAATTGCTCATATTCAGATACTTGATTGTTAAAATTTTAATAATTATTTTGTATATATTTTACTATTATGTAAAGTGTGTAAATGCATGTTTTCGGAAGAATGTTGAATTGGTTATCACTTTCTCATTCGACTTTGTTTAAACGCAATTATTGGAAGATTTGAAACAACAATAACAAACATAAAAAACAATTGATTAATAAATATTCCAAAGATTCGATATTTTATGTAGTTTTAATTGCAACATAAATCTCCGACAGAGTTTCACTTGGGTGGCGTCTTCTTCTTCAGAATGATACGATACAGGGTTCATAGTATTTTACCGTATAGTTTTCTTAACCCAAATAATTAAGGCGGATGTAAATTAGATTTTCAATTTTTCAAATGTGTACAAGTTATATATGCCGTAACTGCTTGATTGACCATTGATTATTTGATATCTTTATATTAAAACAAAAGTGACAGATATCGTCATATTTCATTAGGTTATCTTGCAGTGATAATTTTACAGCGGCTTTCATTAAATTATGCAAACTATCGTGTTTCGTTCTTTCAGAACGAAAAGAGCGAAACACGACAGTATAATGGGGACAATACGACAGTACGATGGTGACATAAAGGAATTACATTTAGCGAATGTGGAAAAAATGAAAAGGTTTAACATTTTTGAAACCAGTTTCCAGTAAAATTAAAAGGTCTTATAAAAACATAATATTAAGTAAATTTTATTATTCTTAATGGACAGTATATAGGTCTCGTATATTGGTCGTGATCTAAGTGACCTGTACAATTGTGTGACTCATACAATTATATTATCGTAACTTTTTTAACAAGTATGAGTAAGCAAGCAAGTTTTTTCCACAAATCATATTTAAAGACTTAATATAATTAAAATATTATATTTTTTCATGAGTGTATCAACATTGACAAGGTCAAGTGCGTATCATTTTCCTCCCTCAGTTCTCGAATTTTCTCTTTGAAATATTTTTATCAAGTACCTTGCGTCATTGTCTGATAGGCAAAAGTTAGGTAAAGTAGACCATGGGTAATTTGCACTAAGGAACAGTAAATTTGACAACATTGGACAGTTTATATGTCTTAAGCACCTGTAGCAAAATTTCAATAAAATTTACCCTGTGGTTTATGAGTTATGGATATATTTCTGAACATTAACTTTGCTATAAGAAGGACTTTTTCAGAAATGAGGAAGTTCTAAATAATCATTAATTCGAATGGCGTGAAAAACTTATGATGTTTGTATTTACAACATTAATAATTACCAAGATTTAATCTAATATATCCTGATGATAAAATGCTTCTCTACCGGAACATTATTCCACTACAACATGTACAATACAAACATTTTCAATAATTATTTTATATTCTTAAACATATAAAATAATGAAAATAGCTATCATTACTCTTGAATTTCCTCCTCCATCTGTTGGTAATGGATTTCTTTTAGTGTAGTAATCTCTTTATCTTTATCTTTAGTCAGTTTTTCAAGATCCATCACTTGTTTTCCTAGCTTTTCCACTTCATTTTTGTACATCAGTTCTTTGTTAAGACATCTTAAGTTGAATAAAACAAACATAATTCATCATTTGAAAAGGTAGACTTATCTATAACCGAATATGCAATAAAGTTAGGTCATTAATATCTTAAGATACATGTATAACACCAAAATGTATTGATCGTTTGCATTGGTAAATTATTAAGTTACTAAATAAGCCCAGCAAGCATTAAGCCCAGCAAAATGTGAAATTTACAAAATAATTTTGCTTTTACACATTTGAAATAGTGAATAAAACCAATGAACATTGTTTGAATTTATTATTAAATGAATTGTTAAAAGAAAGGCATTAATGATAAATAGTAGTTCAACCAAGTCTACCACCTTGACGATTCATGATCAATTTCCTTGTTCTTTGAACAGGTGATGCTCTATACACTTTGTCGCAATAAATATCAAATGGCTATTCAGTCAATATATGCAGTATCTTCAGTAAAGTTACAAAATAGAAAAGGATGTTACATCGCCGACAGATGTGGGGTTATGCATCTATGGCAAACCTAAATGTACTTTGTCACAAGTTATATATGTCGTAACTGCTTGATTGACTATTGATTATTTGATATCTTTATATTAAAACAAAAGTGACAGATATCGCCATATTTCGTTAGGTTATCTTGCAGTGATAATTTTACAGCGGCTTTCATTAAATTATGCAAATTATCGTGTTTCGTTCTTTCAGAACGAAAAGAGCGAAACACGACAGTATAATGGGGACAATACGACAGTACGATGGTGACATAAAGGAATTACATTTAGCGAATGTGGAAAAAATGAAAAGGTTTAACATTTTTGAAACCAGTTTCCAGTAAAATTAAAAGGTCTTATAAAAACATAATATTAAGTAAATTTAATTATTCTTAATGGACAGTATATAGGTCTCGTATATTGGTCGTGATCTAAGTGACCTGTACAATTGTGTGACTCATACAATTATATTATCGTAACTTTTTAACAAGTATGAGTAAGCAAGCAAGTTTTTCCACAAATCATATTTAAAGACTTAATATAATTAAAATATTATATTTTTTCATGAGTGTATCAACATTGACAATATTTAACCTTGTCAAGTGCGTATCATATTCCTCCCTCAGTTCTCGAATCTGTTCTCTTTGCTTTGAAATATTTTTTATCAAGTACCTTGCGTTCATATTCATGTCTGAAAAGGCAAAAGTTAGGTAAAGTAGACCATGGGTAATTTGCACTACAAGGAACAGTAAATTTGACAACATTGGACAGTTATATGTCTTAAGGTCACCTGTATGCAAAATTTCAATAAAATTTACCCTGTGGTTTATGAGTTATGGATATATTTCTGAACATTAACTTTGCTATAAGAAGGACTTTTTCAGAAATGAGGAAGTTCTAAATAATCATTAATTCGAATGGCGTGAAAAACTTATGATGTTTGTATTTACAACATTAATAATTACCAAGATTTAATCTAATATATCCTGATGATAAAATGCTTCTCTACCGGAACATTATTCCACTACAACATGTACAATACAAACATTTTCAATAATTATTATATTTTCTTAAACATATAAAATAATGAAAATAGCTATCATTACTCTTGAATTTCCTCCTCCATCTGTTGGTAATGGTTTTCTTTTAGTGTAGTAATCTCTTTATCTTTATCTTTAGTCAGTTTTTCAAGATCCATCACTTGTTTTCCTAGCTTTTCCACTTCATTTTTGTACATCAGTTCTTTGTTAAGACATCTTAAGTTGAATAAAACAAACATAATTCATCATTTGAAAAGGTAGACTTATCTATAACCGAATATGCAATAAAGTTAGGTCATTAATATCTTAAGATACATGTATAACACCAAAATGTATTGATCGTTTGCATTGGTAAATTATTAAGTAACTAAATAAGCCCAGCAAACATTAAGCCCAGCAAAATGTGAAATTTACAAAATAATTTTGCTTTTACACATTTGAAATAGTGAATAAAACCAATGAACATTGTTTGAATTTATTATTAAATGAATTGTTAAAAGAAAGGCATTAATGATAAATAGTAGTTCAACCAAGTCTACCACCTTGACGATTCATGATCAATTTCCTTGTTCTTTGAACAGGTTATGCTCTATACACGTTGTCGCAATAAATATCAAATGGCTATTCAGTCAATATATGCAGTATCTTCAGTAAAGTTACAAAATAGAAAAGGATGTTACATCGCCGACAGATGTGGGGTTATGCATCTATGGCAAACCTAAATGTACTTTGTCACAAGTTATATATGTCGTAACTGCTTGATTGACTATTGATTATTTGATATCTTTATATTAAAACAAAAGTGACAGATATCGCCATATTTCGTTAGGTTATCTTGCAGTGATAATTTTACAGCGGCTTTCATTAAATTATGCAAATTATCGTGTTTCGTTCTTTCAGAACGAAAAGAGCGAAACACGACAGTATAATGGGGACAATACGACAGTACGATGGTGACATAAAGGAATTACATTTAGCGAATGTGGAAAAAATGAAAAGGTTTAACATTTTTGAAACCAGTTTCCAGTAAAATTAAAAGGTCTTATAAAAACATAATATTAAGTAAATTTAATTATTCTTAATGGACAGTATATAGGTCTCGTATATTGGTCGTGATCTAAGTGACCTGTACAATTGTGTGACTCATACAATTATATTATCGTAACTTTTTAACAAGTATGAGTAAGCAAGCAAGTTTTTCCACAAATCATATTTAAAGACTTAATATAATTAAAATATTATATTTTTTCATGAGTGTATCAACATTGACAATATTTAACCTTGTCAAGTGCGTATCATATTCCTCCCTCAGTTCTCGAATCTGTTCTCTTTGCTTTGAAATATTTTTATCAAGTACCTTGCGTTCATATTCATGTCTGAAAAGGCAAAAGTTAGGTAAAGTAGACCATGGGTAATTTGCACTACAAGGAACAGTAAATTTGACAACATTGGACAGTTATATGTCTTAAGGTCACCTGTATGCAAAATTTCAATAAAATTTACCCTGTGGTTTATGAGTTATGGATATATTTCTGAACATTAACTTTGCTATAAGAAGGACTTTTTCAGAAATGAGGAAGTTCTAAATAATCATTAATTCGAATGGCGTGAAAAACTTATGATGTTTGTATTTACAACATTAATAATTACCAAGATTTAATCTAATATATCCTGATGATAAAATGCTTCTCTACCGGAACATTATTCCACTACAACATGTACAATACAAACATTTTCAATAATTATTATATTTTCTTAAACATATAAAATAATGAAAATAGCTATCATTACTCTTGAATTTCCTCCTCCATCTGTTGGTAATGGTTTTCTTTTAGTGTAGTAATCTCTTTATCTTTATCTTTAGTCAGTTTTTCAAGATCCATCACTTGTTTTCCTAGCTTTTCCACTTCATTTTTGTACATCAGTTCTTTGTTAAGACATCTTAAGTTGAATAAAACAAACATAATTCATCATTTGAAAAGGTAGACTTATCTATAACCGAATATGCAATAAAGTTAGGTCATTAATATCTTAAGATACATGTATAACACCAAAATGTATTGATCGTTTGCATTGGTAAATTATTAAGTAACTAAATAAGCCCAGCAAACATTAAGCCCAGCAAAATGTGAAATTTACAAAATAATTTTGCTTTTACACATTTGAAATAGTGAATAAAACCAATGAACATTGTTTGAATTTATTATTAAATGAATTGTTAAAAGAAAGGCATTAATGATAAATAGTAGTTCAACCAAGTCTACCACCTTGACGATTCATGATCAATTTCCTTGTTCTTTGAACAGGTGATGCTCTATACACTTTGTCGCAATAAATATCAAATGGCTATTCAGTCAATATATGCAGTATCTTCAGTAAAGTTACAAAATAGAAAAGGATGTTACACCGCCGACAGATGTGGGGTTATGCATCTATGGCAAACCTAAATGTACTTAAAGAACTTTGCGATCAATCACTTAATTATTGTATACTATATTATTCACTCAATACTGAATATATAGACAAAACGAGTCGAATAATTTAGTATTATTTGTCTCCATTAAGATACATAATTTTGTAATCTATTTCGTGTTTGCTACTGTGATCATCAGCTAATCCAAAAGGTGATCAAGATTTATCTTTACCTTTCGTGTGTTTTGTCAGCCAGTGTGACTTGTGACGGTGAAGTCGGCCGTTTTGCATTATCTTTATTCTCACGACAACAAAGCGATCCCATTTCATTTATCTCTTTAAATGTATGTTAAAATTAAAAATGAAGCCAGTTCATATCGACATAATCAATGTATATTTATGAAGATGTACACTTATCTTTAAATTCCTATTTGAACTGCGTTAATTTAATGTTAATTTCATTTCAGCGAAAACGAAAGTAAAATCAACGTTCTTCTTTTATAGTTATCTTTAATGTTATCATACCGGAGACAACGCTCAACAGAGATTGTAGACGTTATTTAACGATAGCAGTGATAAACATTTCAATAACAAATCCATGTTTCTACCTGACAAGGAAGTTACTTGAAGTTTCAATGTCTATGACATATTTAAGTTAAACAATATTGATTCAATTTCAATATATAATCTATCAGTTTGTGCACTTGTATCAATCAATACTTTAGCGAAATAGTTTACGACTCTCTTAAAATCATGTTAATATGTTAATAAGACGCCGTTTGCAAGCGGCGTCTAGTAGATATGCATTTGTCCATACAGCATTGGGGAAAATTTTAGACTTGATTTTGTGTATTTTTTTGTTTTAACAAAATCACACTGTTTTTAAATTTTCTAATAAAATAGCTGTTATGATGTACAACATGTCACAGAGCTTTAAGGGATTAGAATAAACGTTTAACTGAAGTGATAGTGCCATGTTTGACTATCATATTCCTTTTATCATTATCTAATATTATCTACATAGTAAATAACGTGCCAATGAGCCAGTCTATAGTCGATCGTTCTAAAACTTATCCGTTGAGAGAGGTGACAACTGAGGCAGTGTCACTTACTTTATTTGTTTCGCCTCTGTTGAAGTTTGACTCCGCCTTAAACTGTCATATTTAATTTGATATTATGCTCCATATGATAGCATTTAGTCTTCGTTGACGGGGTAGAAGGGAGCCAGGAAAACTTTGACCAATATCACTTGTCGAATCATTAAATTACTAGTTACAAAGCATAAACCACGCCAACTATCAGAGAGGCGGTTCTCACTCAACCGTTAAGAAAGTACAACAAACCGGTTTCGGTACGGCCTTTAAGGGGAGATCACTGCAAAATCTAAAAAATTGTCCTCAAAATCATTTGAAAATTATGCAATTCGTACCAATATTTACACAAATTATCTTGAATTTATTTTAAGTATACCAATCATTTCAGTTTTATTTGTTATCCAATTTATTTTGATTCGACCAGACGTTTCAGTCTTTGTCGCTCAAGACAAACATTTAAGAATTTCAGACCTGGCATTATTTTGTTAATTTATGCATTAGGTTCTATTTTTTCACAAAAATATGCAACTACATTATTAAACAACGAGCACATACTAAGAACATGGAGAAAAAATTGATTTGTGCTTCGGATATTCAAGCCGCTTAATACCACACATTAGTTTTATATCAGTGTTTTAAACAGTTTTATTGTACGTTTGTATTTAGTTTACATGTATAAATGGTGTATTATAATTAATTATTTCTTCAAGTTATCACCCCTTGAATTTGATTGTTTTTATTACTTTATAAATTTCATAATTTCATCATTTTATAATTTCAAGGATCGAAAACTTGCTTATACGCCCAATAAACATTACTTATGCTAACTGCTTCATAAAATTTCACGAATTTCTATCAAGACTTTTCAAAAGGAAAATGGCACAGTCTTCAGTAAACAAGAAAAAATAAATTTAAAAAGCATCAATACATTAAAATCAAAAAGTACAATAAAGATAATTTGAAGAAATTGTGGTTTATCCCCTTTTCTGTCATGATATTGAATTTTCTAAACTCATGCCGAGTGTCTACATATGTGTCCTAACATTTTATTTGTTTTTAACTTAACTAAATTTGGGTTGAGATAACATGCTATGTTTGAAAAATGTGAAGAAAAAAGTCAAATTCATGATAATATAGTGCATACATTTTTCGGTACCTAAGGTTAAGAATTTTTTGGCGGCGGATCAAATGGAAAGCTATTATACAAGATTGAATTATAGTGCGAGTATCGATCAGTTTACATAAATCAAGATAATCTAATTTCATCTAAAAGATATTGGGGACAAAATCAATCTTAAACTTGCATGGTTACATAGTTATGTGTCAGATTTCATTAATCTAGCATTGCTTACTTAAAAAGACCTTAGTAGCAGCATTATCATACAATGTTACTTTTAAAGTGATAATATGTCTTCATTGAATTGTTAAAAAATCAAACTTGGTATTAACTTCTTGTTAGAAAAATGCAATATACATATTAAGTGAATAACGTGAATAATTCAGTCCTTAATCTGATAAGAATCGATCAAGATAATGTAATGCCTATCGGCATGGCAATTTGAATAGCCATATAAAATTTTTAAATGAAAATGTGTGATTTTCGTTTACAACATCATGTTAATTAGCGGCATATTTTGTTTTACAGTAGAAGCAAGAAGTCTCCAACCCATCATAAACCCGATCAATCTCATTCCCGGTCGATATTCTAGGGAAACTAGGAATGAGCGTTTTGATAAGCTTCTTTCATCATTGACAACAGATGTTAAAAATCTAGCAACAGCTATACGGGAAACGTTACACAATGATGAAAATGATAAGGTATTTGATAATATGTCTTTTTTAACATAAGTATACGATTGCTTATTGTTGTATACGATAGTGATAAGTGCATAACATAAATTTAACACATATTTAGAAATATACTCACAAAGTGATTGCAAAAATAATACGACACATCTTAAAAGCATTATTTTGCATAATAAGTGTTTTTGTGTGAGTGTTTGAAACAGGACTATTTAAAGAACGCAAAATGAAATAAATCTCTTATAAAGCTAATTTAATGTATTTGTAAACAACTTTCTAAATAACACTCTTAATATGTTTCAATGTTTACATTAACCTGTAACAGATATCGCTGGATTGAACTTTGATGAGTACCAAAGTAACAAACTTTAATAAGCCTACTTCACAAAGATAATTATATATTTTTAGAAACATAATTTTATTTCCTATTTCCGTGAGACTTAAATGATACGGTTCATGTACACAGTTCAAAACTTCGCTGATGTCGCTGATATGAAACGAAACAACTAGATTTTGGTTTACATTGCAGATTAGCTAATCACGGCATAAATTTCAAAATAATGATTTTGATCCTGATCTCTTAAACTTTATGAACGTAACAAGGGCAACATGGTCGCAAAATACGCCGGTCGCAAAAGCTTTTGACAGAGATGTGCATATAGGATATATGCACTTGGCAATATCCGGAAATTATCTGAATATTTTTTAATCTATAGTAACCTTGACCTTGCAAATATCAATATAAATTATATTTGTCACACTTGTAGTCATGATAGTTATCAGTTATGTAACAATCCATCAATACATGATGACTTAATGATCCCCGGTCACAAATTTAGACTTCTCTACTAGTATGTGACATTGACTTTGGTAGTAGGGACATTGATTATGTGTGCAATAAGCCTTACAACGGTGAACATTTGTGCCAAGTTGCATTCAAATCATCCGGTGAATGTAGAAGTTCGGCTCCGAACAAGCGCCTTTCAATGACCCCTAATATTACATTTGCCTTTAACATAGAGATCTGGTTCTTGCACTTGACACTGCTTCTCAAAGTAGTGAACATTGCTATGAAGATTTATCAAAATCCCACCATGCGTGGAAATATGCTCTGGACAAAATATCTATATTTTATCATCTTTATTGACTTTGACCTTGCAAATATTAACCTAAATTACATGTTTCACACCAGGAGTTATAATAATGAACATTTGTGTTCAATACCTCAATAAATGATAACTACACATTTTCATATTTTATCTGAACTTGGTCTTGGCTGCATGTACCTTAAATTTGCACGCGACACTCCCCGACAAAATAGCGAACATTTGTACCAAGTTACTAGCATATTAGAATCCCTATATTTATGTCGAAGTGTTGCTCCAGACAAGCAATATTTCATGACTTCTTAGTGTGACCTTGTCCTTTGACCTAAAGAACTGGTACATAAACATGACAATGCTTCCCATAGTGGTGAACATTTGTATGAAGTTTCATTAAAATCTCTTGATATGTGTAAGAGATATGCTCTGAACAAAATCTCTATATTCTATAATCTTAAGTGGCCTAGACTTTCATATATTTACCTAAATTACATGTTTCACACTAGAAGTCATTGAAAATGTCATTTGTGTTTCAACCCCTAATAAATGATGACTAAATGGTCAAATCACAATGTAAGATACTAGCAATGGTTACACTGGAGAAAATCAAAAA